CTATTATTGTTACCTTACACTAGCTAATTACATTATTTGGGACTATTAATCAAATCTGAATGGGGGGAAAAAAGAATTCAGACGATAATATTGTTCATTCCAAAAAACGGGTCAAACTTACCGGTCTGACCGAGTTTTTATTTTGATGAGATTTGAGAAACAAAAAAAAAGTTAGGATGGCATCAGCAATAAATGCAATCCTTCATTTTTATCCGTGACCGCAGAGTAGAATAAATACTATCATCCACGACTTTAACCCTGATTTAATTTGTATTCTTTTAAGAACAAAGCTAGAAGTTATACATTCTACAAGATCTTTCTGTGTTTCCGAAACTATTGCAAACCACTTTTATATTACATGTGTTTCAAAGTAATTTATCTTTAGAATTACCGAATAGGTTATAGTATAATTAATTCATAGTGGCCTTATTCTGTGATAAAGAACAATACATTTTTGTTTTTTATATCACGACGCTTGAATTCATTGACTTTAAAAAAAAATTCAAGCTTGCGGAAATTAACTTGAACGAATTTATAACCAATATTAATAAGTAACTTAAACTATAATACAAAGAAAGACCCCCATTTTTACTTAATAGCAAGTATAAAAGAGAAAATAAACATTAAAATTTTTAGAATACTTATTTATAACTTTATAATACCAAACCAATTTTTTTTTCTTTTTTTTTTAAACATATTTTTCTTCTGTCTTTTCACAAAATGACTATTTGCTTGAATATAAAAAAATTTAAAAAAATGCTAACAACATAGAAAAAAGAAAATAAAGAATACATTTCATTTCATTTACGGGTTTCTTCTATTTTTCAATTGGGTAAGTTAAATTTGTATTTTTTATTTTATTTTATTTATCATGGTTCTTTCAGAAAGAAAATCTAAAATTACAAAAACTATCGCTTATTATCATTGCTATTATTCTTGCTTTTATTATATTATATTAGTGCTAATGAAAACGTTATTTTAAAAATTCATCCCCACATATCTTAATAAAAATTAAAAAGGAAAAATAAGAAAAAATTAGAATCAGAAAATAAAGCGTAAAAATGCGTGGAAGAATATTAATTTTAATAATATAATAGTAAATTTTTCTTAAACATTTATTTAGAAAAGAATGTATTAAGATTTAAAAATTAGAGTTAAACTTACATAAAACGTGGTTGTCTTATTTTAGTCTTAATAATTTTATCAAATAGGAGAACAAAAATAAATTCTGTGTATAATATTTCTGCTGTTCTATTTTTTCTACGACAAGCATTTAAAATAAAAGAAGTCATCATTATCACATAAAAATTTTGATGTATAGTAAGTTTATTTTGAAAATAAATAATACATTTAAATACATTGTATAGTTTATATTTTGTCTTAGATAATTTTATCAAGAAAAAAGGGATCTGTTTTACTACTTTTTGTTTACTATTTTTCATGAAGAAAAAAAACTAGCAGAACCGTAAACAGGACATTCAAAGCTGCAAGAATTGTTTTACTTTAATGATAGTTTTGATTAATTATTTTCATTTTTGCTAGTATTAAACTATAATTCGAATCATTAATATTATTATACGTTTAGTGCTTTGCATGCATAAAATTTAAATTTTAACTTCAATACTTTGCATTGTATATTTTTCCTTTTTTTATTTTTTACTTTTTTGACATTCAATATGGATAATCAAATATTTCGCAATCTACATTTGGCTGAAAATTCTAAATAAAGAAAATCACTGTTATCCGTCTTTTTTTCTATGAGTATAGACGTACCGTGAGAGGGGGTTCACTTTTGTTTGAGAAAACTCTTCGTATATTTAAAGTTTTATGTGTATATGTATATTTATTTTTTATATGTATGTATATTTATAAATAAATGTATGCATAAAACTAAAAATAAACGAACATTTTTTTATAAAACAAAAAGTGACACTCCCTCACGCTAATGCTATGTTTATGAGCGCGTTTTTGATATAAAACATTTACTTTTGTTGATATTAATGATGAACAAAATCTAATGATAACCTTACTTCTATTTTTTTTTAAAATTTAATGGTGTCATACATGCATGAAAAAAGTTGGAACAACACGTGCATGTGCAGGATCGTACGTACAAGTATCATACAATGTAGCCTTCAAATTTCTGAATATATTGCACGTAATATTTAAACATAATATTTAGAAATTAACATTATAAACGTAATATTATAAAAAAATAATGTGTTGAATATAGTATTAGATATGTATTAAATATATATTTACATACAGTATTAAAAGAATATTAAAACTTAACATTATAAATATAGCGTTTTAAATACTTATAATATAAATAATAGTAATATTAGTATATTAGTACAACATAAGTTCGTTCAATATAAATATTACACTAATAAGTACAACATTTTAAATATAACTTTTAAACATTAAAATTATGATTCTTAACGTTTTAAACATATCATATAAACCTTTACATTATAAACATTTACATTATTAATATAACACAAAATTACGGAAAAACATTATAAGTTCATTATAAATGTAACATTATTATTATAAACTTTTTTTGAGAAGTTGATATAACATTTACAAAACAAACAAATTTTTTTTCTCTTTCATTTACAAACTAAAGGAGTATTAAAAACTTATTACGTTATAAACATATAGCATTTTTAATATTTATATTATAAAACTAGTACATCAGTACAATATTATAAACATTGCATTATAAACACGACATTTTCATTATAAAATTTGAGCATTAAAATTATAATTCTTAATGTTATAAATATAGATAAATGTTTACATTATTTATATAACAATATAAACAAAAAATTATAAAGTAAGTGAAATATTGTGAATGTAACATTATTATAAACGTTATATTATATTCATAACGTATAAACATTCTTTTGTATGAATGTGTAAAACACACAAAATTTGATTGTAAACAATAAGGGAAAGATAGAAAATATTACTGATTGTTAGTCCACTTAACATTTAAATCACGGCATTTTATTTTTACTTGAAATTAACCAGTGTTTTCCCATCAAAATAATTTTTTTTGTATTTTTTTCTTAAGTTTTTAGAAATGTTTATGAAAAGCTTTTGACTTGGCGAAAGTTCAGTGCCTTTAGTTTTCTATAATGAATTTAACTTACTTTTACGATTCCATTTTGCCAGTGGAGTTAGCTGTAGATGGTGACAAACATGTGGAAAAAAGAAAAACAAGAAAAAAAAATAGCGAGATAAAGATGAGGAGATCGCGTTTTATTAGAGCTTTTAACTGGATCTTGTTTTTTTTTTCTGTTCTTTTTTTAATTTAATAAAGTTATCTTGAACGACAAATTTCAAACTTAAAAGCATCAGGAAAGACAATTTCAAGCATATTTATTTTTATTTCTTTTATCTTAACTGTTAAAGTAATTCGCAGCTCTTTTAAACGGTAATGTTAGCTGGCTAGACAGTGATAACAAAATGAAAGCATTACAAAAAAGTTTTTCAGATTCATTAAGCAAATGGGTCATAAACATTTTTCTTGTCGAAAAAATTTACTACAACTTTAAATTAAAAAAAAATAATATCAACCTATTTAATATTTCTGTTGCACTCATTTGGGGGTGTTCAAATATAACGCAATCATTTTTATTTTATTTTATAACCGTCGTTGAACAGCCAGCCCAATTTTATGGGTTTACGACTACTAATGTTCACCTTGTAATTTTGAACCCAATCCAGAAGACAAGGGAACTCCTCTATCGAGTATTGGGAGAAATTGCCTTCGTGGAGGACTTTTTGATGGAGCTAACCCTCATTTGCGTTACATGGAGAGGAAGACCACGAGAACCTCCCATGGTTATCCTGACGGCAAGGGGACTCTAACCCATGATCCGTCTACCACTGAGGATATTTCACGTTAGCACTGAGGTCGGTGCAAGCCGGATGCGGAATTTATCGACCGGCCATCGCCGGCATCGAACTGAGCCATCGTGGCTCATAACGTAATCATTTATTACTTGATTAAAAACTTCATTCGCCACTTCAAAAATATACTAATTGGAAATAACAGTCGATATGTTTCAAGCTCTCTAAAACAGGCGCCCATCTTCAAAAGCTTGGCAGACGTAAATAAGAAGAAACAAAGTGATTTGAAATATGAACGTATTTTTTATATTTTAAATTGTTAATTGTGATTATTAATAATTGTTTTCTATTTTTCGTTGGCAAGATTAGGTTTTATATTTCAAATCACTTCTGTTTCTTCTCATTTACGTCTGGCAAGTTTGGAAAATGGGTGCATATTTTTGATCCCTTGAACCTTGTCAACTGCTATTTCCGATTTGCATGTTTTTGAATATCTTACCACTTCAGTTTCTCGAGATTATTGTTTTAATTACGCAAGCAGGTTTTTATAGTTCTGCCCTTCTTCCCTGTCACCAAGAACAAGCCGTCACCCTCTACCATCCTTATATAAGAAAATCGCAACACCCCTTGTTCTTTGCGTTGACTTATTCTGTAGTAATCTAATTTTAGGATTTAATTCAAACATATGAATAAAATGTAACTGCATAAAAAATTTGACGCATCGATCCGTTTTTTAAAATTTTAAAATATTTATTCTTTAGAAGTTATTTTGAATGTTTTTTTTCTATATTTTAACTGTCGACCTTTTAAAATCCTAATACAAACTTTTTCCAACTTTTTCTCTACACAAATTCAACTTTTATTTCACTCTTATTCTTTTTTTCTTTTTTTTTTATATATATATAATGAGTTTTTTCTTATGTAGTTGTTACATAGTTTTGCATTTTAAAAAATTGACGTAAGCATTTTACGTAATTACTTAATTAAATTGCATTTTACGTAAGCATTGATTATAACTTTCCTTCCCTTATTCAGCAAAAATATGCAAATCACAACCATGTTTTTAAAAATAGAGTATTTTGTATATAGTTGTGAAAATATCAATAGTTCATAATTATTTCTTCTTTTACTCCTTTCAGAATTCAAAATGAAGTATTTCTGCAGATATTGGCTACTTTTTTCACTAGTATTTCCATCACTGTGTTACTCTTTCAACAATCATCATTTTACATCAACGACGAAGCATACTAAACCTTTCTTTCCGAAATATAAGCATGAAATATATTATGATACTAAACTCATTCCAGAAGACACTGAAATAACCATCTTGCTACACAGAAATCACGTACAAAAGTAAGTGCCTGTTTCATCTTTTTACCTATAAACAAACATTTTTTTAAACAATGAAATTCCATTTAACTGAGAATAAATTAGGCTTAAGCTTTTTAAATATTAAAAACCATTGTCTTTCAATGTTGAAAAATTAAATTTAAATAATCTTTTCACTCAGAAATCGCGAACGAAAGTGAGTGCCTCCTTTATCTATTTACTTATTGTGGTCCTCCTTTGTGGTCCTCCTTTATATATTTACTTATTGTGACAAGTGGTTTTTAACACTGGAAAATCAAATTCCATTTATCTTTTCAAACAAAAGTTCACATGCAAAAATGAGTTTAAGTTTTTTACCTCTAAAAGTTATTATTTTTTTATCTTGAAAAAAATTTAATTTAACCAATTTCACCATACAGAAAACCCACACAAAGTTAAATGTCTATTTTCACTTTTTAACTACCACTAGTTTTTAAGTTGAAACACATCTTTCCTCACAAAAATCGTGTACGAAACTGAATGCCTCTTTTATCGTTTTACCTGCACGGAGAAAAAAAACTCTGGTAAAATTACCAAACTACGGTGAAGACATTTCTGGTAAAAAAAAAATCCGTAATTCTGTTAATGAAAACCGAAATATACCGTATTTACACCATTCATTTGGTAACTTTTCTGTTCATATTGTAACGGTTTACCATAAAATCTGGTGTTCAAAATTATTGTTCTTATTACCACACATTTAGTATAAATTACAAAACTGTAAAGTAAATTAAATCAAATTGATTAAATCAAAAGTTAAATTAAATCAAATTGATTAAATCAAAAGTTAAATTAAATCAAATTAAATCATGATAAAATTACAAAAATTTACCACAATTAACAATTTTATCGTTTATGAAACCATATTTTATTGTTAATTTTATCAAAATATTTACCACAGTGCTTTGAAGAAAAAAATTACTGAGCTTTTGGTGTTTCCATAAAGTCAGAAACACGGTAAATTTTACCTACTCTGGTAGTTTTTACCCTACATTTTTCTCAGTTTATACCTACTAATTTTTAACGTTGAAAATTTAAATGGTAATAAAATTTTACTCACAGAAATCACATAAAGAATCGAGCCCTTGTTCTAGCTTTCTACCTATAAATAACTATTGGTTATTAACTTTGAAAAAAATAATTTCAGATATTCATTCACTCAGAAATTGCATCCGAAAATTAGGGATTGTTTTAACTTTACACCTATTTAACAACCATTGGTCTTTGACGTTAAAAATAAATTTAATGTATCTTTCCTCACAGAAATCGAATATGAACGAAAGTTCCTCTCTTATTTTATTCTTTTACCTATCGGTTTTTAACGTTGAAAATTTAAATTTACCTTTTCGCTGTTTTAAATTTCATTATGGATTATGAAAAGCAAAGCTTTCATGTAATCGATATCCAGGATGATTTTGTTTATTTAATCTTAACGCAAACGGGGACAACTTTTTATCAATTCTGATTTAAAGTATTTATTGTAGAGCTAACATAAATCGTCTGCTTTTTTATTAAGTATAGAATTGCAGCTAGTATTACGTACAATTTCTAATAACATTACTTTCTAAAAAAATAATGCAGTAATTAATGGGGTTTTTTTTTATACTACATGCGGTAATATAATTTTTAATTACAGATCTAATTTAAGGAACCATGTAATATTTAACAACCACTATTATATTATTATCAGTTATTATAACACCAAGTTTAATATAATATTAAATTTATTATGTTAAGTATAAATAATATACTATATCCGAATTATTAGTCCTATTGTCCAGTTATTTTGTAACATGTATGTTCGATTTAACAAAATCTGAAAGGAAGAAAATTTTTTAAAAAAAAGTTTCAAGAAACTTTCCTTGAGATGAGGTTTGTAAATGTGAAAACGATGTATTTATTTTCTAAATTTTAATCAATATGTAAAGTCGTTTTAAAATGAAATACTTTCGAAATGTAGAAACTTATCTTTAAGTTTAAATACAAACTGCAATACATGTAAAAATAAAATAAAAATCTCATTTCGTAGAAGAAAATTAACTTTTTATGTACAATTAAAGCAAGTTTTTATAACATTAAGAACGCCACTTACGATCATCAAATCTTTTTTTTTCCTTCCTGTTTTTCCTTTCTAATGCAGACGATTTTAGTCTTAACAATTGGGTGCTTGCAACTCGAGAAAGAAGTGAAGTGATTATGCCTAACCATGTGATTTAAATCAGATTTAATTGGATAGGTGTAAGATTTACCTACGATGACGTTACTTGCAGGTATCCAGTAAAGAACAACATATTTCAAAAGATCATGCCTATGGATATTGACGATGTAAAGCTAAGCGTAGATGGCACTTACGCTTAGCTTTCGCTTAGCTTACGCTTGCGCTTAGCTTCCGGGTCACTACTTTCAACGGATTTTAACACCTAAGCTTGAAAAAATGCACTATCCAATATTATTATACTTGTAGTATGTTTATAGTAAAAACACTTGTAGTAGGTAGTATACTAAAAACACTTGTAGTATGTAGTATTCTAAAAAAGTATGTTTACGAGCCTTTTTCTTCATGTTATTGTTAATTATAATCATGAAGCAGTGCACTGTTAATGTATTGCATCCTGCAGAATATTAAGAAAATTTTTTCGCAAATATTTGGAATTGTTTGTACAACGCAATATAACTAGTATTGCCTCTAAATTCTACTGTACTAGTATTGCCTCTAAATTCTACTGTACTCGTATTACTTCTAAATTCTAAATGTTCTATGAGATAATGATCGAAAATTTTTCAACGTACAGCAATGAAATATTTGTGTATGTAACTCGGTTATTAACATACACAAATATTTGTGTATGTTAAAGTAAAAATAGGTTTCACATTACTGACTCACTACGAAAATAATACATTAAAAAGTTTGTTTATTAAATAAAATAACAAAATGAACTCGAAATTTTTCATTTTTAATGTTAATTTTTTTTAAATCTATTTGTTATAGAAAAATTCTAATTTTTTCTTTGTTTCATAAAAAAAAAGGAAACAGTTGAGATTTTTTTATTAAAAAAATAATTGCGCAGTCACAGTTGCAAGAGACAATTCCAGGCAATTTAAAACTAAAAATGAGGCTACTACCTTTTTGAAGTAATAATTTTAACTGTTGTTTTGCAATATTTTACAAGTTGTGTGAACTTTGAAAGCTTTTAAATTAGCCAATACTAAAACATGTATAACAGCAGTCATAAAAGCAATGATATTAAATTCTACGTACAAATCAAGAAACACAATGACAGACTTTTCAGCCTGTCAACTAAACTCACAATCTTTACGAACGCAAACGATTTCAAAAAAATATACCGAGAGAACAAAAAGAAGCTTCCTAATGGCTTCCATTAAGTAAATTTACGAATGATGTTTAAACGATTTCTTCGAAGCATTAGCGGAATTTTAAGATCCCAGATTCGATGTTATCTCAGGTAGTTATATACAGGAAAGACTACTTGATAAAAGTGAACAGAAAGAGTAATTGTAACGTTTCAAAAAATTAAACAAACAATCCAAAGAAACTGTTAGTTGTTTTGTTTCTTGTGTCTCATGCACTACTTTCACTGCGCCAGGGTCACCCAAAAATAGAACTTATTGCTGTTTTGGCGATGTTATACTGGCATAGTTTCAAGCCAAAAGCTATTCTTCATTTTTGCACCTCTGTCTTTTAAATGCTTTTGGTGAAAGAGGTTTATACTTTTGACTTTATCCAAATCAAAATGTCATTTCTGTTAAGCATTTATCATCACCTTACACTATTGTTTGCTTTTTCATTTTAAGATTATTAATAGAACTATGTTAGTTGGGTGGTTACCGTAGTTACTTAATGTTTCCCCACTCATATCTTTAATCAGACAAGTTCTGTGTTCCAAGAAATTTTTCCGCATGAAATTTTTTTTCATAAAATTTCTATAACTACTATGTTTTCAGTGTTTCTTCGAAACTTATCTTTTTATATTTGAAAATAAAATGAAAAAATTCAAAAAGATGACATATTTATTTTGCTTACTTTTTTCGTTTGAAGCCTATGCATACCTTAAACTTTTCAAAAATCGAAAATTCCTTATCGTATATAATGCCTTGCAATTGAAAAAACAACATAAGTGCTCTACACTAAATAGAAGTGGCTTGACAAATATTTTTTTCCCATTTTTTCAATATGTAGTTAATTATAAAAGACGCAAATTAATCTCAATTTTGAATTTTTTTTTTGTCACTAACTGCTGATTTTTCTATTGTACGGCAATATATGCTTGTTTGAAAACTTTTTTGTTTCGCTCGTCGAAAAAAGTAGATTTAATTTTTAAAACGATTTTTAGACTAAAAAATCATTATTAAAAACTCATCATTCGTAAAAAAAACTTCATAAATATTATTCAAAAAATTTTTTCTTCAGAAAATCATTTTTAGAAGTTCTAGTTAAAAAGTATATTTGCAATGTACTCAATTATTTTCAAAATACAGATTAATTAATATTTAAGCAAACTCAAATCATTTTTCTGGATTTTATGAAAAACTGCCCTCTAGACCTACTTAGAAATAATAATAAAAAAATACATTATTAACCGAACACTTTATACAGATTGCGTACATTTGATATATTTATTCTATTGTTCAATAAAATATTTTTAAAAGAAACGAATCATGTGATTTAATCTCTATAGTTACAGATAAACACAGATAGTATTCTGTCCGACTCAAAAATTCCACAAAACGAATAAAGACTAATTGTAGAATTTCTACAATTTCCCTCTATCCCTCATCATCTCAAATTCCATACTTTTAGGGACCTCCTCTGCATGACTTAAGAATTTTTCGGATCTTCTTTTGCGTTCCTAAAAGCGAGGTCATTTGCTTAGAGCCTAATTAATTCTGTCCTTTGCCAGTTAAAACGGTTTTTGGAAGAGAGGCGTCACGTTATTTACTGATTTGTGAATTTACCACCCCCATAAAAACTTCACCTTTACCTTGACCCTCAAAAAGTGGATTTCTTGTTATATGTTGCTTAGAACTCAACTTGTTTTTTGTTAAAGATTACACTTCTCTGTAAGTTATTGTTCTAAAATGTAATATTTATTAGTGTTATAAGCACATTAATGTAATATATAATTATTAAATATATATTAAGATAATTAATATTAACATCGACGCATTTATTAACTCTTTACTAAGAAAGAAGTATGGTCAAAACTACCAGAATATGGTAGAATTTACCGTGTTTCTGGCTCTATGGGAACACAATAAAGCTCGGTATTTTTTACCGAAGCGCTTTGGTATTGAGTTTGGTAAATATAGCGATAAGATATAGTTTTAATGAATAGTTGGCAAAATTTGGTAGTTTTATCGCGATACCTTAGTACATGGAGAGAAAACAATTTATTTGGTAAAATTTACCTTTCAGTATCTGTATTTGTTATTAAATGTGTGGTAATAAGAATTATAATTTTAAAACTACGATTTCCGATAAACTTTTACTTTAGAATGGAACGAAAAAAGTAATAAATGAATGGTTTAAACCACGTTTATTTTTGGTTTTACTAACCAGAATTATGAATTTTTCGCCAGAAATGTCATTACCATACAGTACGGTCGTTTTAGCAAAACTTTTTTATCCGTGTAGATAAAAAGTTTCATAAAAAAAGTTCCAATTTATGATAAAATATCACCGTCTTATAAATACATTTTTAGAATCCTAGTCAAACGCTAAATAAATTTTAAAAAAAACGGACTTATTATGGATTGAAAATTAATATTTTAACTGTGCAGAAACAAAAACACTCTATCAAATCACAAGCGCGGATTGAGAGATAAAAAATATAAAAACCAGTTTTATTCCTTAGTTGTGATTCTTTTGACTTCGATAGATTTTGTTTTTTTCATAACTTTACTATTTATTTGTAACTATTAACGTGTAAATTTTTTTTCTTCATTTTTAACAAAGATTCTGAAAATATGTATTAACCCCTTCCTTCTCGCTCCCGTGATATTTCCGGGCTGGAGTGTTTTGTAGTAACGCGCCAATAAGAATAAAACTAATTCATTTCTTTTTCCCGGAAAACATTTCATTTCTCATTTTACACACCAGATGACGATACCAAGATATTTTTAAGGTAATTGTAGATAGTTTAATTTAAACTAGATGTCAGTACTAATCAAATACGTGTATAATATACGCGTATAAAAAAATAGACACTTTTATGACCGTTTTCTTGAAAATTAACCGATCGTTAAGGGGTTAAGAACAGTCAATCAATACCTCCTAAAAGATAGTAAGCATTCACACGGGTTACAATGAAGGAGGAATTCAATCTTTTAGTTGTCCGAACGTTGTGACTTCCTTCGTATTTTCTCCCTATTGCGCAGTTTATGTTTATTACGTCGAACTACTGATCAGTGCGAAGGCCTTCTCTCTTCTAGGAGGTTTTGAGTCAATGCGACAATCTTTTATTTTCAATTATTTATAAAAGTAAAATATGAAGAAATTGTTGGATAAAAATGTTCAGGGAATAAAAGTGTTTAAAAGGATTAAATAAAATAAAAAGAAATATGGAACTGTTATCAAAATTGTTTTATTCCTGGATAATCTCCTTATTAAAATACTTATTGTTTGTTGAGTAAATCAATGATTTTTATAATCATCACTCGTTCTTTTCTCTCGTTAATTTCGTGTTTTCTAAATCTATATTAACATGTTGCTTTGCTTTTAAAATACTATTTTCTTGTATGTATTTTGCCGAAATTTGCGTTGCTTCAGTTTAACTATCAGTTATTAGAGTTTTCGTTCTTAATCTATTTGTTTAGTTAAGAGACCAAGTATCACTTTTTAGAGTTCTAAATTTTTATAGCTTCCTCCCTTTTCTTTTTTTCTTAAAGGGCGCAAGAACAAAAAAATATAAATTTAAGAATTTTTTTTTAAATCTAAAAATGTCTGATTCTTAATTATGCCTAGCTCTTTTAATTTTCTGTGAAAAAAAATGCTAAGAGAATCTGAAACATCTTGCGCTAAACACACTATTCTTGTACATAAACATAAGATTTTTTTTTTTTAAATATCTTTCTTAGATCTCATTTTGATTAAATCTTTCGTTTGTTTGTAAACGAAACACCGAACTTATCAACCCACGTTTGGAGATTTCTAAGAAATTGATAATCTAAAAATAAGGCTTTCCTTTTTTATTTTTTTTAAAGCATGTTATTTGTATTTATCAAGTCTAACACTCATAAAAAATTTTTTTATCCAACTTCAGAAAATTAAAGAGAATAAGGATATACAGACATACTTAATGTATTACTATGCTCTTGGTTGATTAAATTGAAGAGAATGATTTACCACTGCACACAGTTCTTTTTCCTTTGTATTAGTAATTTACTGACATTGTTATACATGTTTGAAAAAATTGTAATTTCGTACAAAATTTTATTAACGAATATTTTAAAATGTTTTTCTGGCTAAACTATAAAATATTTTTATTATATACAGGAATAATTTAGTTTTATTAGTTAAAGGGAAAAATTATTTTAGTATGCTTGTTTCCGAATAATAATATCTATAAATTGTTTAAAAATAAATTAATTATGTCTTACAAAAATATTTTCTAATAGTTATATTTTCGTAAAATATTAATAAATAATTGAAACCATTTTTATAATTATTGATTTGTAAAGTAAATATTAAAGAACATGAAACATAATTATTTTAATAATTAGATCAGTTTTTTAAAAATTATATTTCATTTTTTATTATACATAAATTAGTATAATTTTAAATATAAAATATATTGTGCACAGAAATGTATTTATATTAAATAATTTTTTTTTCTTTTAATGTATATTTATTTAAAAAAAACGTAATGTACCATGTAAAATCCATTACAATACAAAGCTATCATAATTCTACTTTAAAAAACATGGTGAAATTAGGAATACCTACTGTGCATTTCAAATTTTATATTTAAAAAAATTTTTAGTTTTAAGTTGTGTTACCTATGAATGATAAAAACTATTTTTATTTTTTGCTTTTAAAAATATCAAAGTACAATGCGAAAAACGACTGTAGTTTTTACAGCAAAAAATTGTGGATCAAATTACGGTAAAAAGTACCTACACTCAGAATTCTAGTACTTTATACCATAAAATGCATTTTTACCGCAACATATTATACAACAAAAAATTTGATGAACCGGAATTTTCACAGTAATAATCACCAAAAAATTACTGAATCACTCTAATTTTTCGGTAATAATATAAGTATAGTACTCTAAGTATAATACTTTACGGTGAAAATGGATTTTACGGTGAAATGGATTTTACGGATGATGCATCCTAAGTACCGGTACTTTATACCGTAATTTGATCCAGAAGTTTTACTGTGTACTGGTAAATCTTTAAGAAACTGGAATTTCATGACTTTTTCTTGTAGTCCACAGATTGCAACGAATACAGACTAACTAGTAAAAAATACAGACTTTCTTAGTATTTCTCCTCTCTTCTTTTTTTTTTCGAAATTTTAATATTTCAATTTCTCTGTGAATTCTTTAATATGATATAATAGTTAAGTGTTGAGCCGGCCAGGTGACCAAGCGATCTGAGTGCCTGACCGCACAGCCAATGGTTGCGGGTTCAAATCCCTCTCGGGGCATGAGTGCCTCTCTGATGTGCGAATGTGGCCCACTCTATGAACGGGTATTTGATCAGTGGCAGTGTGGTATGGGTAATGTCGCTAGCCTCCGTGACTCAGACTCGATCAGGGTAACAGGTGCGCACCAGATAACGTTAAATGAGCAGCATTTCCAGCATCTTCAGTGGCAAAGAATGTAATAGTTCCCTGCGAGCCAATAAGAATTTTTTTTTATTTGGATATTTTTTCTTTATAATTTCAGATTATATTTCCTTTTGGAAGGAACGTATCGACCTATATCTGTCACAGTTACTCCCTGCTCTTCTCATGCAACTTTGGAATGGAGAATATCACACAACGTGCATCAAAATTCAATAGTTGACCCATACCATTCAGGTAATCTTTTCGATTTTAAATTTAATAGTATCTTATGATGAGTTCATATGTTTTCTAGTCAATTGTTATAAATGGAATAAATTTCCTACCCTTCTTAAATTCTGTGCGTTCTTGATACTTTAGAAAAATGTGTTTTTCAAGTTCATTTTTTCATTTGTTCAAGAATTTAGAGTTCGGTTTTTGTTTAATGCGTCTAAATACTTATTTTTAGACGTCCTAAATATTTATTTTAGAGTCTGTCAAGTATGAAATTAAAAGAATATGCTCATTAGGCGTCGCACGTTAATATCTAAGCAAGGAAGAAATAAAGACTTAATCAATACCTGACGAATCATTCACAAGGATGGCGATATTAAAAACTATAAAACCTGTTTTATTGCCGGAAGCCAAAAGGAGATCAAAGGCGACTATAGAATTACCCTCAAGATTCATTGGACAATGAGACTGCATTTAATGTCTTTTTCTTAATCCCCAACTCTATACTTAATGATTCATGTAACATTATTTTTTGCCCTTAATTTCTACCTCCAATTTGCATTTATATTTTTTTTCTTCCAATTTTGAGCAAAAATCAAGAAATATTTGTAGGAGAGATGATTGCTGTACTTTATGCTGTATTTTAATAATAAAATAAAATATTGTGGAAACAGTCAACCAAAATAGTTAAAATTCGTTTTTCCAAAAGAAAAAAATAATCACTAATCTTGTTTATTTAATGCTAGAACTTTAAAATTTATCTCTATTTCACTCGAATTAATAGCCTTTTTCTTTACAAAATATATTCCTTGACACACGTTGGTGAAAATGAACTAGGTGTTGCCAAAACAGGGTGACTGAACTTTGTTGGAAGGACTTAGAATTAAAAACGCGCAGCAAGCACTAAACGTTTAAAAATATGGTCCATCCATTTTGACTTAAACACAACTCCAGACAGAATAATTTAAAAAAACCGAATGGCACGAGGTGAAAAAAACAGAATAGAAAAGTAATAAAAATCGTTGTCGTTTTTCTGCCAACCGTAAAATGTGAGGCTTGAAGTTGGTGAAACTAATAAAAAAAAAGTTTGACTCCTTCCTCGTTTTGTTTTTTTCCCGTTCAAATCCACGTTTTTTTCTAGATGGCACGCTTAGTCTCTGGTAGTATTGACTTCGCCTGAGTTTCTTCATAAAACATCTCGTTTTACACCTTATGCAAGCAGAGAATAGGAGCTGGGACAAATGATTATAAAGGCTAATTTTAGATTCTCTGTCTGTATTGCTGGGGTTTCTTGAGTTTGCCTAATACCCCAGGTGGCACGCGGCACTTTTGGAGCCTTGAAATAGGGGGCAAATCCCTCTTGCTTTGACGATTTTGAAGTGTCTTGATGTCCCAATGTAAAGACAGCGTGAGTCAGAATGGAATGCTAATTAATGTTTCTCAGTCACCGAAAGCGATTACTTTGAGCTTGATTCATTAGTTTGGAAAGTTCTACAACTCATATCTGATTCAAGCAGAGAGAAAAAATAATAACTGAATAAATTAAAAAGTTATTTTTTTCTAGTAATATGAAGAATTTCAGTTCGTTCTCTGAAATGTAGATTATGAAAATTAGATTTAGTCTGGAACTTTGGAAGTGAAAAACTGATTTGACTTCTCTCTGCTGGTCTTTTTAGATCAAAGTTTTAGGAATTGTCTAAGTTTTTATGTTTAAAGAATTTTGCTTCGATTTCTAACCAACATATTTTTCTAGTCATCTGAAAAATTTTAGTTGAAATATAAATTATAGAAATAAAATTGTGTTTGAAATTTAGGAAGTGTAAAATTACAGCGACTTCTCGCAGATTGTCTTTTTAGATCCAAGTTTCAGAACTGTTTTCGTTATAATGTATCGAAGGAATCCCTTTTAGACCAACAAGTTGATGTACTTTTTTAGTAATAAATCCGAAAAGATTAACTTACTTTCTTGAAATGTAAAGTTTTATGGTTCAAGGTCTTAGTTTGTGCAAAGATAGTTTTTTCCTTCTTCTTTTTTTGAAACGAAAATGTTTTCGTATTAAAGCTTTAGAAAGCGGCTTAATTTTATTTTCTAGAAAACGAAATTATAAGAAACTCCTAAATTAAAAGTTTTAATTTTTGAAATAAAAAATTAAAAGCACATTATACATTAACCTAACTGTTAGATATGGAAGATTTAGCCAGACATAACACACAGCTCATTTTTAAATTCTTATGAAACACTGTTACCGCTAAATATTATAATACGAATTATTCCTAACTCTTTATACGTATTCTGTCTTGTTCGCTGTTATCTGTAGCAGAATTACTATAGGCTCAGAGTTACTATCAACAGAATTATTCAAAATTACTAGATGGCTGATTTATGTGTGTAAATTTGTTTCAATTAGCACGTTAGTTCTATTTTTTTCCTTGAATATTTGTTTCAGGATTCTCACAACAGGTCTTATAGTCCTGAAGCAATTAATTCAAGGTTTATTTTTTTTCCTTCTGGAATTTAATCGTCAGTAAGTGGTTGTTCTTCGCATTCAAACTCTAAAAAAATATTTTAGAAAAACAACTAAAAATCATTGATATTTTTATAGAAATTTAAATGTTTGCCTTCTTAACAAATGCTCAAGAAAACTGTCTCTAGAAACTCTAGACTTTCATCTAGTAATCGAGTTATTTTTCTAAATTTTCAAAATAAAAATACATTTGTTGTTAGAGAACAATCCGCATGTGTAAGTGCTTGACCCTTATTGGTGCCCCAAGTAAAGAGGGGGAAAGGGAATTTTTAGGAAGAAAAATATCTATAAATACCATAACTCTGAGGGAGGCGTTTGCTAATCCCTTTCTGTAAATGTCCCTTCAAAAGATTTATGGGGATTCTTTCTTAAAATCACAAAGAAGAACCGAAAAGTGATGAATTTGAAACATAAATTGCTTTCGTATAAGGAGGCTCTTTAAATCATTCTTTTTCACACCGCAAATATTTTCAACCTTCAAATTTTTTGATTTTTTAAATTATCAATTTTCTTATTCCTTAAATTTTTCTGTTAAGTATTGCATTTTTTTTATTTACATTTATATATTTCATTGTTTGCAAATTGTATTATGAATTTTGCACTTTTATGCATCTCATACGTTGTCCGCTACTGTTGAGGAGAAATTTGAATAGACCTCTACTTGCTGCTGCTCAGATACAAATATTTTATTACATAATTATCAACTTCAACTTTTTTTTCCAGCATAAAAAACAACTTTTGCTATTACTTCCTTTTTGTGTTAAATATAGAATTCTGCATCCTTTTCAAATGTTCTTAAATTCTTTAAAATCTTGCTTGCATCTTCTTATTACGATTGCTAACTCTAATTATGATTGCTTAGAGTTTTCTATATCATAATTATTTAAAGATGTGGTTGTTTAGAATAAATTACACATTACTTTCTTTAATAAAACATTTTCAGAAAATCGGTTAAAGATATAATCCTATTATCAGCGCCTTGATTCATATTATCGTACAAATCATCTATAACCTTACTAAGATATTCAGTACATGCCAAGTTGTACAATTGTATCAGTACTTCAAACCATGTTATCTTGCAAAGTGGCCGCAATTTATTTCACGATGTAGTGTAATACCATAAAACTGATATATTGTCGTGAAAATTTGCTGCAACTTTAGTAAGGCTAAGCTATACTTCCGTATATGATGAACTATATTACTACTGATTAGCCCTTTTTTACTAATATAGGACGCCATACCACGGGAGTAATTTTTTGTCGTAAATTCTCTTTCGCCTCCATAACTAAAAAATAGAGTATAGAAAAAGTTAGTTCAGACAAATCTAGAGTAAGCTATGAAGTTTCAAAACTGAAAAGAAAATTTTAAAATATTAAAATGAAAATAAAGTATGAGAAGATAACTTAGGATTGCACATTGGGGGAAGTTCTCCAATAATTTGTTTACATTTTGATATCTTGAAGCATTTTTTCAGCAGTTTAAACTTCGTGGCTGACTCTAGGTTTGATTTTTAAACTAGTAATGGAGTTTTACTAGTAATGGAGTTTTACTAGTAATGGAGTTTTACTAGTAATGGAGTTTTGACTAGTAATGGAGTTCTCCCATGATATGACGTCCTCTAAATAGCTAGAGGTTAATGCTTTTTAAAGTTGCCGCCACTTTGCATAAAATGATGCCGATATTATGGTTTAAACTAAACTAAAGCAGAACATTTTAATACTTTATTAAGTTCGCAACTGATTTGTGTTACAATATGGTTTGAAGTGCCGTAACATGGTTCGCCTCAGGGTTGGAGTTCTTGCCAGGACAGTGGCAAAAACCTGGTAAAAACCGGCAAAAACTGGTAAAAACCGGCAAAAACCAAATTGTCTAAATTGCTGATTAAATATTATTACAAAATACTTGAAACAAATTTAAATCAATCATAAGGAATAATAATTTTGATACATTACATGAAAAAATTATTTTCAACATATTAATAATTAATATAATGGTAATAATTTTTAAAAGATTGAAAGTTTGTGATCTCTTTTCATTTTAGAATCCTAAAATAAATGTTTTTTTACAAATAAATAAATATTATTATTTGTATAATATTATTATTTATTATAAAAAATTATTATTTGTACAACAGTTAACTACACATATTGATAGATATTTTATGCTTTAAATTATAGTTATATTAATTTAAAATAAGTTCATTTCACTGGAAAAAAAAGAATAATCACAAATTTTCCAATCAATAATGTTTTAAACTACTAAAATGATATATTATTACATTATCATTTAATTATGGAATAATAATTTTGTTAATTTTCTTGTAATTATTTATATTTATAGTATATATTTGAATTTTAGGAATAATTTTGTATCAAAAATGTGTTTTTGTCCTCTCATCTTGGAAAATATAGGTTTTTGCCAGGACGGTTTTTACCGGTATTTACCATGGTTTTTTCCACCTGCGGCAAAATCTTGCCAACCCTGGTTCGCCTTTAGCTAAAACCCTTTTCTATGAAGAGCATTCTCTGATCCTAGGAGTCCCTGGTTCGACCATTTAACTGAATAATACGGTTAGAAGTACCGATATTAAGGTTAAACCTTGCACTGATTTTTCTTTGTACACCTTTCGAAAGATCGAAAGTACATCTCGAAGTACATCGAAGTACGAAAGTACATAGTTTCGAAGTACATCTTTTCGGAAATTGAAAAGGAGTTTAAATAGTTTTTATTTCAAAGGAGCGTTAAAAGAATTTATTTACTTCGTTATAAAACCAGCGATCAAAAATTTCTCGGAAACCTTTAATCTAGATAAAATTATTCATTCACTGCATCTATATAAAGCTTAAGTGTACTATCGTATTTTATTCTTAGAAGACACTCCTTTTAATCCAAAGCGTTCGTTTTATTGTCAGATTTATTTCAATTTCGTTCGGGTTGATCTGTCACTTCAATATATTTATGCGATTGGACCAGTTTTTTTAAGGTAATCAAATTTCACAATCCCATTTTTTTTTTAACTTTATGTTACAAACTTCTCTAAGTCTTATTGGGGTGAATTTATGATGCCATATTTCAAGTCTAGTATTTAATGCTTAAATTCTTATTCTTGCATTTGATTATTGCAAGGTCAATGCCACTCGGAAAAAATTCTGAATAATGAGGAAGTTGTAGAAAGGAATTTTTTATGGCACCTTATTGAACTGTTTCTTTCTCTCTCTCTCTCTCTTTTCTTTTTTTTTTCTTCTTTCTTTTTTTTCTTCATTGATTTGACTTATATATGAGATATTTAAGGTAGGGCTACAGTTGAGTATCATTATAAAAGAAGCGTCAAAGATTCCAAACTTGTTTTGTTATTGTCAATTCCCTAATTGATTGTATTTGTTCTAGTTCATTTTTTTGTATTGTTATTATTAGCTTCTAATAAATATTTTCATAAAATTCAGTTAAATGTATTCAGTGCTCGAAAATAATGGTGGTCCATTGGTCCGGGACCTCTAAAATTGGACTAGGATCACCAGAAAATTAATTATTAGTGGTCTCAGGGTCTAGCATTCGATGTAAAAAGATAGTATGCAGCTTTTTTTTGTTTTTTGGTCTGGTGTTTAGGTCTGTGTTTTTCTCTTAAAATAACATCCTTCCTCATATTTGTAAACATTAATACACAATCTAGGTGCTATATGAAATCCAATCCAATCAAAGCATCCTATATGCAGCCTTAACTGCAATGCTATTAAATTTTAAAGCAAACCAGAAGGGATTTAAAGAAGTTATTGAATCCTAACTAACTAACTCCCTGGTATTACAGTCCATGTTGGACCATGGCCTCACTAACAATTTTCCTCCAAAGTCGCCTGTCTCTAGCTCTTTGTTTCCAGTTTCGGACTTATAGAGTCTTAAAGGCCTTTTTCCACCTCGTCAAACCATCTTTTGACCTGCCTTCCTCTTTTCCTTTGGCCCTGGCACTGCCCCTTGAATATCTTCTTAGTTCCTCTGTTTTCCTCCATTCTCTCAAGGTGTCCTAGCCATTCAATTTTCTTTGCTAGTTATTAAATCCAAGAGCGTGAAAAACGTTGTTTGAAGAAAGTACTAATTGGTGTGAGAGAAGATTTGTACAGTATGTAAAATTAGTTATAGTCAACCAAAAATTTCTTAAAACAGCATTAATGGCATTAAAAACATCCTAAACATTAATTTTTAAAGTAAGCTGGAAGAAATTTAAAAGAGTTATCAATTCCAAGAATGTAAGAAACGCTGTTTAAAGAAAGTAGTAAAGATAACTTGTTCAATCCATAATCATTTTAAAATATCCTTTATTTTTCTAATTTGTATGTATTCCAACTTTTTCTTTTAATGACATTTTCTCGAATATTATTGAATTAATTTGTATTTTTCAAACTTTTAGAGATTATTTACTCTTAGAATCTTAAATATGCTCTCTTTTTACAGCTTCTTGGTCAAATCACGTGCTCAGACCACCATCTGCATCTCCTTCAGCTACTTACATTGGAAACGAACGCCGATCTTACACCAATCCAAGAGCCCCTCCCGGATTGTACAATTTGGATCTTAAATCGGACAGCGAATCCAGTGCGAAGATATTGGTGACAACTCGTGCCATCAGCCACATGCCACATCATCCACCCCTTCCTCCAGAACCTGGTGTTCAAATTGTTAAAATCAAACGAAATCGAGTTCTGATTTCTTGGAAGGCCAGCTTGTCGAATAGACCATTGGAATATTGCGTTGCGTCGAACAACAGGTAACGTATTTCTTCAAGTTAACTGATATTTATTCAGTCTTAAGTTAAAAGTTATAAATCAAAAGAACTATAAGACTGCTTGGTATGAGACTTATGTAAATTATATTTTTTACTTTAAAGGATTTTGCTTCAGAATCATGCATGAAATATTGTTATGACTGCAATAGGCAATAGAACTTTTCAACTATCCGATGTAATCGCTTATCTAACCTGCTTTTCGGTTTTAGGAGAAAGTGTGAGACTTAACTTAACTAGCCTATATCGTAATTCTACATAACCGAACTATTCCGTTATCTTCTTTCGATTTGCAACCAAATCTATCTGAAAGAATTGCTTGCGGCATTATTCAAAAATAACCTATATCGGAATGATTGGTAATCGGCAATAATAGTAATCTTTTGTGATTCTTAAATCACTTAGTGGCCTTTATAAATCGCTTTAGAACAAATTGCGATTTATAAAGCACGTCAATACGAATTGCTATGTCTGATTCGTTAGTCACTTGGATATCAATCGCAATTCTTCAATCGCAGTCTTTTGAAAATTAATCGCGTCGGGAATCGCGTAAATGCGAATAGCTGTAGGTGATTCGTATGGAGGCCGTAAATTGTGATTTATGATTCGAAAAGAGTTTGAATGTGAATTTAGATTTGATTACAATAAAAGAATTTCGATACGATTGGTAACTTACAAAGTAGTTTTACAAAATTACCGTTTAACTCTGAAGTTCATATTTTGTTCTAAAGTTCTATTTTGCAATAAAAAGTCGGGAAAAAAAATGCTTATCCTAATTCATAACCTTTAGTATAACCTTTGTTTTTTTATCTATTAAATTATTCCTTTTTTGCCTGTAATACCTATAATATTCTATTATTTACCTATCTAATTTTATAACCTTTATATTATTGCACTCGTTTGCAGAATACGCAATGGCAAGGTCGTTTTACTAATTCTATCTATAATAGTAGCAATTTACTTTTAATATTTTCTCTTAATAATAATTGTATAAGTTTGTAAACTTAAAAAAATATATCCAATAAATCACTTCCAGTTATCCGATGATTTCGATTTTCCGACCTATACCTAGAGCAGAAGATATTCCAGTCGATACACTAGTACAAGGGTATACGTAAATCCCTCCAGATTTTAGAGTAAAAGGAACTTAAATGAAAGCAGCAAAAATATGCCTTGCACTAAATGCATAAAAAACTAAAATTTTATTTACAATCCTTCCAGATCTTTTTTGCTTGCACTCTTGAATACATCAGTACAATAGCCAAATTTGATGCCAGATTCCATATAACATGGTACTTACATTCAACGATATTGACAGTGCTAGTGATCCTTTCACGATGCAGATCTACAAAATCTCGAGGTATAATGACAAAGAAGTAAGAAGGCAAGAAAATAAAAAGATCGGGCCTTTTAAAAAGTCTCACGAAAAACTGGCATATATATAAGGATCGCATTTGCTGTCACTACCGTACTAGTACCATACTGAATGGAGTCTGTCTGGAACGAGACTATCTCACTGATATATGTCGTGTATGATGTATGGTTAGTCTACCGTTAGAACTCCCCCCGCCCCAAGGTCTGCTGATACGGAAACAAGAATTGCTCATTTCAGGGAGGGTAACTTTTCTCTTCTCTCTAGGGCTAACACAGTAGACTGAAGAAAAAGATTCCCTTTCTCTTTCCGACCTGATCCAAAACCTGTCCTAAACAAAGACCCCACACCCCTACTTGAAGTAGTTATACCTCGTTACCATAGTCACCGCCACTGGTCCAGACGAATGGTTTGGGGAGTTCTTACTTTAGACAAACTATATGTATTAACATATGGAAGATTTAAAAAGGTTGTAAATAAAACATAAATTGGATCCATTAAGCGGATCCAAAATGTCATAAGGGGCGAGTGGAGGACGCACTCGCCCCTGATGACATTTTGGATCCGCTCTACACGAACTAAACTCAATCCCGGTTGTTGGGCTGCCCGCCTGTTCGCTTCCCGTTATTTTGACAACGTTTTGTTGTTTTATCTATCTCATTCGCTTTTTAATTCTGTTTTAATCTATTTATTCACTACATTGTGCTTTTTAATTGGCTTATTTACATTGCCTTTCCTTGCTTTGCAAATTTTAGCGTCTCCTTTTAATTGTATTTGATAATTGTTTGTTTTACCACTTTACATCTTCACCTCCTTTTGTTTTACATTTGAGATTTTCTTGGCTCATTACGCCTTGTTCTTCTGTCTTACCTGTTGTCAATTTGTCATCGACTGTATTGGTTCTTTGACCTATATTAACTTAGGACCTCCGTTTACCTGTGACCTTTTAATGTTTTCTTATGTTCACTTCAGGTACACGTTTTTTTTTAATGGTTCACTTCATGTTTTACTGTTCTTGAATACATCACTGCGATGTGTTGTAAAATTTTTCATTTGTGTCTTTGGCTCATTATAAGGGAAGCCCCGTCAGCTTCGGCACTATAAGGCGGGACTCTCGGAGCATTTTAATTATTTTACTGCTGTTGCCATCAGACTCTGTAATGTTTACATAATGTTACTCTGTAATGTTACTTTTTGTATTTTATGTACTTTTCTGATTTTCTTGATTTTAATAAACATTTACCCGTATGCCCTAAATTGGGGCAGGTCGGGGTAAATATTTCATAAAACATAAATTGGGAACTCGAGCCTATCGCTAAACTATATTCTGAAATAGATATGCAATGTTATTCATAATTCCCTCCGGGGTTTCGAAGCGTTATAGTAAGAAAACAAAGACGAATGTGGCAAGAAAGAACATATGAAATTATTCCGAAAGTATTCAAGTTTTAATTTAAGCAGTTGCCGGTAGATGGCAGTAACATGTACCACTGAAGCCAGTTGTAGTAAAGAAAAATGGCGTTTACAGGCGGAGGGAATTATGAATAACCCTGTATTAATAATTATAAAAACATCTCATATGCCTTCTTCTTTTACAGAGAAAACTACAACTCTCTTTGCTCTGCGGAAGTTGATCTCTACGGGACTAACTCATTGCATGCAATAAACTCCGCATACTCTCCTTACCAGATTCATCATGATGATGCAGATACCCATTTAATTCGACATGGAGCCAACTTGTCTTGCATAGGACGTAAAACATGGCATCTCTACAAGGGATTGCAGAAGGGAAAAACGTACTATTTTGACGTCTTCGTTTTAGATACAGTGACGAACGCTTCGTCTGCTTATGTGGGTGTAAGTGCTACTATTCGAAGCTCTGGCCCAGAAATGAGAAAGATGAAGGATGATTCTTTAGAAACCTTCACTTTGGATGAATCAAATGGATATACTGTTAATACGAGATACCAGATGAGCAGAAATGCTGGTAAGTGTCATTATGGTTAAGTATTGTCAAAAAGAAATACTTCACCGCAGGTTTGCAATACGTTTGATAAAACTGAATGCGCTATTAAATCATTTTTAAAAATGATTTAATATCGCTGTCAAAAAACGTCGTTATTTAAAGTAAATACGTTAACTTAATGCAGATAAGTTAACGTATATAGTATAGTGTTTGCTGCAATTGAATATATTTCTGAATATTTGCCTAATTTGTCATTGTTTTTGTCAAACTGGCATATTTTACTTGCTAGGAAAGTAAAGGTGGTCAATGCAGCAATGCTGGCCACATTGCAATCCCCACTCTGTAATCACAGCGGTTGGCCTTCATAATAAATGATCTCCCTGACTTGCAGTAGGCTGTGTGCACTTTGCGTTCTTTATTTTAATCTTGAAAGTAAAAATGCTGAAAAATTCACTTCATATTTGTTTCATAAAATAAGATTATTTATCTGAAATTAAATTGAAAAACAGCAGAGGCTTAATATGAAACTACCTTTTAAAATTGTATTACTCATCTTTCAGAATTGTATAGGTATAATATTAGCAAAAAAGCAAAAAAAGTCAATCGAGCCCTCAATTTATCGAATGGCTCTAATTGGGAGACGGCAATGTACTTTAAATATTTCGAAGAATACTGCATATCCATCATCAGTTAAAATATATATATATAAATTAAAGACTTGCTTAAAAATTTTCTCTGTCTCCACTCCTTTGATAGTTGAATTCGGTCTTGAAAACCGAGGAAATTCTCTTAACTAAATTTAGAGATAATTAAAATAAAATTATGATTTCGCACATTTGAACAATAATTTTAATTCTATTTCTTTATACTACAGGTTCTGTATTGCTGTTCGTGCAGTCTTGTACGGGCCCTGGACCTGTGAATATACACATCTCAAAAAGTGGAACTCCAAAACAAGAAATCCTTTCAACTACAGTGATGGATGTGAAAACTTTAGAAATACCACGCCAGATGGCAGCACTAATGAATTCATCGACATCAATCAGTCTTTCCATTCGATCCACGACGATGCACTCCCGAAAAGTTCGTTTATGGATCAGTGGCAAAAAGCATGCATTTCCTTTCCCCGTTCTACCCCAAGATAAAAGTGTTCGCGTGTTTGAAACCTTAACAACGTGTAATTCAATCACAATCGGTTGGAAAACATCTCCAGATGAGCGAGTTAAATACTGCATTTATAGACAAGCTGCATATGATGAACTCATGGAACGTACACTTGCAGAACCACAAAATTTCTGTGAACCTCAGCTAGAGGGCAGCACCTTCAGAAAAACTGTTCTCTGCCGTCGCTATCACAGATTTAGCAAACGACGTTTTAATAATCTCATTATGCAAAAAATAAAGGGGTTACATCCTGGAATGACATATCTTTTTGAAGTGCAAGTAACCAAAGTAAAAGGCAAAATGTTACCATATGAACAAGTATGGGCCACGACATTAGATAGTTGTTCGAACAATAAGAGTTGATGCCTCATTTGTTGATACTTGAAAGAGAGTGAGTATGAAATAGTGGCGCCATCTATTAGCTTATATGATCGTGGCAAATACATTAAACGAACTAATTTTAAATATCAGTCATTAAATTATGAATTCTCGTAAACATGTTAGTAATGTATAGTATTTTAAGTCACCGAGTTTTCAAAGCTCGTGATTATGAGGTGCCAATTTGTAATTATAACGATGCTATGTATTTCTACTTCATTAGACTGTTTATGGAGAAAAAAATACATGAATGAACATATCTAAACTATATATACTATTTGAATGAAACTTATTTTGTACATATGGTTTTTATCGTGAGCTTACAGGTTAGAGAATTCATGTGACTACAACCTTCAGTATTTTCTATTTATGAAATCGATGTCTATTAGATAAACTTTTTTAGCAATTTAGAATCATGTCATTCGAATGTTCATTTAGTTGTGCAATATAGATAATTATTTATGTATTTTTTATATAAAGTTTAAGAATTGAAATTAGTCAACATTGAGTGAGTCATCCTATATTAACATTGTAGATAATATATTATAGAACATTAAGTGTAATTAATTAAAAAATTTAAATTATTATGCCTATGAATTTAGATTTTTTTAAAAATATTATTACATGCTTGATCAAATTATTTTTAACATCTATGCAGTTTTTTCCCCCTAATTTTTAATTTAAAGTAGAAAATTAATACAAGGTTCATTTGAGTTTCTAGTTTCATTTAGAATTTTATATTCGCCCAGAGGCAGTGAGAGAGATAGCTTCTAACGCCCCCTTGTGTCTAAATAATTACAGTTGAGCGAACATTGTACTAAAATTAATTTAACACAGCCAAAGCTTGTCATGGCATATCGGAACAGTGGTCACCAACTTTTGCTTCAAATTAGGCAAAATGGAGATGGAAAGACATGAAAATGATATTAAAAGTATACAAATTGGAACTAGAGAGTAAAATCGTTTTTTCTTCCTAATGAGTGGCTTTAACATTTTAGAGGTGAAAAGGAAAATGGCATCGTTTTTTTTTTAGCAAGGTGCTTCTAGCAATACCAAAAAAGAAAAGAAAAATTATTTTTGACAGTTTTCAGTAGTTAAAAAATTAATGTCTAATGGGTATATTATAATTAATGCATTACTTTAAATGGTAGAGATATTTTGTTTAAAATTTCTTTTACCTTTATTTTATGAAACCATTCAAAGAATGATTTAAACACTCTTTGCATTGTCTTGTTGCTACAAAAACTCTTCCAGACGCCTAACTCACGTACTAGCATTTACTATGGTTAAAGATAAGTCACTTGGAATAGAGGTATGGGGCTAGCCATTTTACATTGGTGAAAAATACACGTTTTTTAAAACATTATTAAATTATAGGTATGGACTTTACTTTTCCATAACAGCGGACAACTTTTGACTTTCAGTTAAAAGAAGTTCTCAGGATAGCAGAACAATACCTTTTAAACTTTGATTACTTATGTATTTGCTTTAGTATTTTTCTGACTTTATGACATTTGATAAAAATGCTGTTCTTGTGGGAGATTGAACACTCAAATTAAATTCTAAACCATTTTAATGTCACATTGAATACTGCTTCTCAAATGCAGGAAATTTAAGTTTAAATAATTATTATTGAAATTAAATTTCTGTGATAAGAAACTTACAGAACAATTCATTTAGGAAATTAATCAGTATTTTGATAAAAATCCACCATATTATGTAAAGGTATTCGAAATATACTGTAATTCCCTTTGATACATAGTTGTAATAAATTGTAATATACGTTGCTGTAATTAATTTTGTGATAAAATAAAGTTGTTTTTAGTCATTTTATAGTTTTATTAATGCATTTCTTTATAAATATGCTATAGTTTGAAACAATGGATATAGTAAGTCATGAGATACTACTTATAATTTTGTTGTATTTTGGATTTTTTTCTAGTATTTTGCTTAAAATTCAAGCCGAACTTTTAGAAATGTATCCTTTTTTTTTTTTAAATAAATAACTTACACCCAAAAATTTATGAAAATATTTCTCTTGTATTTTAAATTATTCCAGAAACATTAATAATGTTTGGTAATCATTTTCAGTCGTATTTACCAAAACTTCTAAAAGACATGGTAAACATTTCACATTAAGTATTGTCTCCCAATCTAAAAAACTCACTCTCCCATTACCTAGGGCACTGTCAGTGACTATGGTTACGGGATTGAACTATTTCAGGTAGAGGTATGGAGTAAATACATTGGACAAATTTTGAAAGGGGTCACAAGGAAGATGTCAAATGCTCTGCTTTCTAAAATGTGTGTGTGTTTTTTTTGTTGCTTTTTTTTCATTTCTATAGCTCCTGACTGGTGGGTGGAGTTTTTTTTAGACTACAGACCTATCATTGTTTCTTACATCGCAATTTTAATCTTAATAAAATTTGATGCGTAAGTACTTAAATCAAGACCTGCAAAACTTCTACAATGTTTCTGATTGAAAATTTAAAAACTGCAGAAGTATGGAATGTCTTGTTAAGCAACAGTGAATGAAAGAATCAGAATATGATAAGAAAAAGAATCAGAATGAATTTTTTTAAAACTAAGATTTGGAGCACATAAGACACGAATGTTATAAAAATTTTAGTTTTTTTTCATGAATTACTTTTGGTACTATTATAAAAAACTTAAATAAAAAAATCGTACAGAAAAATTTGCTCACTTTTAAGACCTCATACTGACTTTTCAAATAAATATTCTCTTTTTATTTATTTATATTTTTGAAGAAAAAAAAAATGAATCAACAAGGTGACACATTTTCAAGACAATATTATTATATTTTTATTCACCTTTCTACTAATGAAGAAAATGCTGCAGAATTTTTCTTCCATTATTTTATAAAACAACTCTTGTATTTTGGTACAAAATTTATATACTGGTATAAAATAAAATACATTTCATAAATATTTAAAAATATATGTATAAAATATATTTTGTGAAAATAATATTAATCAGGGGTTAAACTCTTCCTTCTCTCTATCGTCAAAGTTTCGTCCGCTATTTCTCGTTCCCGTGATATTTTCGGATTGGAGTGTTCAAAGTAACGCACTAAAAAGATTGAAACAATTTATTTATGCCTGTTATGTTTTTTTTTTTCGTTCAGCAGATAGCACAGACTATTTCTAATGTGCTTAGAGATACAGCAAATATGAATATATGTGAATAACCTCAAAATTAGAAACAAATACATACAATTGTACCATTTTATAGAATAGTTATCGAAAAAAATATTTATAATTGAACGAAGCTAAATTTTTTATTTTGAAATGTATAAAATGAATTTTTGAAATATCCTCTCTATAACGTTAATATTTTAATTAAAATACAAAATATTCAAATGATGTTTATAGAAATTCGAAGCTTTTGAACTGTATGGCTGCTCTTCACAAAATGTTACTTGTAAAATATAGTTGTGCCATACAAATGTAGGTTCCAAGGTGCGAATTAGGGTTATTACTATCTAAATATTCCATTAACTCCAATTTTTTTTAAAAGTTTTAATCCTGAATTATAGATTTGACTTCTTTTAGGAACAATTAAAAGGTCATATTAAAAGAATGAGGCCCTATTTCAGTGTGCGACCCTCTTTGAAAACGTGAAAAAAAAGTTTTGTGGTAAAATTTTGTAATTATTTCTAGTTTATTGCTATTCTCAAATTTTAATCATAGTGTAATTTAAAATTGGAAAATCGGCTGTTACTATTTATTTCAGGATATTGATTTAAATCTGATGTAAATAAACTAATTTTATAAAACGATTTACGTAGAAAAAATATATATGCTCAGAAAGAAGTTATATACATAAAAAAAAAATCGAGGAAAAATGTATAAAATTTATTCGTAATTTATTTCTCTTTTACAACATTAAAATTCCGTAGAAAATAAAAGTTTTATTGGCGCGCATGCGCGTCAGCTCCCCAACCGGCAGAAGAATTCGTAACTTCCATAATGACAGACGGCTCACATGTAGCTCCGTCTATTAAAAAATATAACTTCTGAAATCGCATTTAGCGATAATTTAAATAAATAAAAATAAATCATCTCTTTTTTAAAAGAGTGGTCCGTCCTTATAATTTTCTCTTCATCTGGCTCCTTCGAGCTTCGGACTTTGAATCAGTACAATGGCTAAGCCTATCGACATCATAAATAGATCACGAACTTCATTTAAAGGCAAAATTACCCGCCTAGAAAACTTTTTACAACAAATTGATGACCTGCGTGATATCACGGAGTTAAATGTCAAACTTAGAAGTGTAGAAGTCTTAAAAAATAAAAGTGAGGCATTACGACAAGAATACTTCAACTTGGACATCCATCGATAATGATTTGAATCAGTGTGATGAACGTTTAGATAATTTAGAGGTAGGAATTTTAAAATTAATAAATTCTAATAAACTACCGAACTCTGATTCTAATAACAAGACAGAGAATAATCATAAACTAAATGATAACTTAGAAACTGTATTAAAAATACCTCCTGTTAATCTTCCAATATTTACTGGAAAATATGAACATTTTTCTAGTTTTAAAAATCAATTTGATGATTTAATTTCTTCAAGCAGTCAACTCAGTGAAACACAGAAACTATATTATTTAAATTCTTGTCTTGCTAATGAAGTGAAAGAATTTGCTTCTACCTTTGATACATTTACTTCTTTATATGAAGCATTAATTTCAAGATATGACAATAAAAGATTAGTCGTAAATATACACATTCAATCCATTCTGAATTTTAAGAAAATAGAAAAAGAAAATGCTGTAGAAATTCGTGCCGTGATTGATTGTGTTTAAATAAAGATTTAAGAGCTCTAAAGGTGTTGAAATAAAATCAAGATCCTCTATTTGATATATTTTTACAAACTATAATGTTAAAAAACTCGATAAAGAATCTCGTAAAAACTTTGAATTGTTAAAAAAAAAAGAAAGAAATTTCAATGAGTTCATAACCTTTTTAGAGCAACGGGAAGCTGTACTGTAGTAGATAGAAACTGTTCTTACGAAACAAAAATAAAAAAGCACCAAATGTTTCCCTCTAAACTTAAAACTCTTTTAGTGTCTGAAAACGATAACAAAAATAAAAATAAGAATTGCTTTCCTTGTAAACAAGGTATGCACCCCATTTTTCGCTGCACATTATTTTTAAATCTTGACATTGATGAAAGAATAAAGATAATTAGTGCTAATAAATTGTGCGAACTATGTCTGAAAAAAAAATCATACAAAAGCCCAATGTATTTCCCCCATATCGTTGTCCTTGATCTTTAAAACATTCGAAGCTAATTTGCGCAAAATTAAATTCGAAAGAAACTGAATCAAATATCTCTTCTTCGAATTCTATGAATATTAATCATTTGCGGTCTTAAAGTGAAGTTGATCGCGTGCCACTTCCTTCTTCTTCTACTAGTAATCCAAATCCCAATGCTTCGGTTTTAAGCGTAGCCACTAATAAACAAAACAAAAAAAATACGTTTTGCTCTCAACTGCTGAAATATTTATTATATGTGCAGATGGTAGGAGAATAAAAATAAAAGCGATCCTTGACTCAGATTCCAATATATGCGTATTAAAGAAAAATATGAGCTATTTATTAGGGATTAAAAAAGAGAAAATAAAAACACCGATTTCTGGTTTAAACGGATCGATCCAAACAATAATTGGAAGGCCGGGATAGCCTGGTCGGTAGGGCGCTGGGCCCATATCCAAGAGGTCGTGGGTTCGATCCTCGCCGGCCGAAGACTCCCCGTGTAGTAAATGGTGACTGATGCACGTTAAATCTGTCGAGTCTCAAAGTCCTCCATGTTCCCACAACAAATCAATACCTCTGGGGGTACTGATCCAGGAGTTTCCTTGTCTTCTGGATTGGTTCAAAATTACAAGGCTACGGAGTTGAACGTAAGTAGTCGTAAACCCATGAAATTGGGTCGGCTGTTCAATGACGGTTATAAAATAATATAAAACAATAATTGGAAATTAACAACCGACCACTTGGATCAGTCTGCGTAGGGACCGAGGGTGTGCGGTATTGATCCTCGTAAATCTGTTCTACCGTAAAGTGCTCGACTTCGCGTGCAGGTCGTTGGGCTACCGAAGCGGGGGTGCCATCCCCTCTGCAGAGGATCAAAATTAAGATGGCGTGTCTTCGGATCATCCTCAGGGATGTTTCCCAGACCGTCGCCAATAGCCCATTGGGCCCCAATAGCCCAACTCGTAAATGATCAAATCAAATTAACTACACCCATTTCGAATGAAGATTTTAGTTTTAATGAATTAATTGAATTTTACGTGGTTGATAATATTACGGGGCTCACACCGCCCACTACTTTAGACATTTCGCAAATAGAGATTCCTCATTTTTTGAAATTAGCCGATGAATCGGTTTATGAAGCTACTGAAGTGCACGCGTTTATAAGTTCTGATATTTTTTTTCAAAGTTTTGAAACAAAATACGTATAAGATAAATGATGATCTGTTTTTTAAAGAGTCGTCTTTGGGGTGAATAGCTTGCGGTAAACTTAAAGAAATCCAAATTACTCAGGAAAGATACTGTTTTTTTTTTTAACTAAAACTGTTTTTTGATCTGGAGGGGCTTGGGATTAAAGGCGATCCAATTTTACAAGAGAAAGATCAGGCCATGAAAATATTTAATGAAACTGTGGAATTCAAAGACGGACGTTACTTAGTACAACTTCCATTTGAAAAAGACTATAATGAACTTGCTGATAATTATTCTTCAGCGAAACAACGTTTCCGAAGCTTTTGGAAAAGATTTAAGTATGACTAGGATCTC